TTTAGGGTTTGAGTTTAGGGCTTTAGGGGTTTAGGGTTTTAGGGTTTTAGGGTTTAGGGTTTTGGGTTTAGGGTTTGAGTTTAGGGTTTCGGGTTTAGGGTTTTCGGGTATAGGGTTTAGGCTCCTCTACCCAGAGAGCCCAAGACCACTTGATCAAGGAAAAGAGATTGAATCATAACATCAAGGCCCCCCCACAATTTACGGTCTATTCCTGAATTAAGGAACACACCTTCAATCATAGTATTAAGGCCCCCAATTTTGAAGGTCTATTCCGTAATTAAGGAACAGACCTTTAATCATAGTGTTACGACCCCCATAATTTAAGGTATATATTCCTTAATTAAGGTGTATAATGGGTTCTTGGGGGTTTCTTCAGGTCATTAATTAAGTAGAATCGACAGTAGGATATCTTGAGCCTTAGATCCAAAATGAGACTTAGGGGCTGATACCTTGAGCCTTAGATCCCGAAATGAGAGTTAGAGGGTTGATATCTTGGGCCTTATATCTCCCAAAATGAGTTTGAGGGGGCTTAGGGTTTAGTCTACTGTAGATTCCACTGTGCCTTACCTTTTCGATAAGGGCCCCCTCTAAGGCGTTCTTTAAGGCTTCCGTTAAGGGACCCTATTCTAGAACCCTATGGTACCCTTTGCAGGGGAGTCTGTATGCCGGGAGGAGGATAATCGGAAAACTGTTGAGCTTTATGCCAGCAGATGGTGTAATTAATGCTGCAGGGGTTCTTGTATTCAGGATCATACTATCGCTGTTCCGGGTTTGTGGTCCTGAGTAATGGGTTCATGCGCGAAGGGTCCTACCATGACGGCTCCTTGTTATTGTGATTCGCAGCCTTAAGAGCAAACACCAAACCTCTCAACTCCTAAACTCTAACACCCTAAAAAGGGGTTTCGGGGCATTCCGAGGGCCCTCAATACTCCGAGAAGCCTAAAGGGAGACTACTAGTATGGTTCAAAACCTTACCCTAAACTGCCCTAAACCCTGCCAACACCCCCCCCAAATACCCTTCAATAGATCCCTTATGGTCCTTAATGGTGGGTCTTTTGGGTATACTAGAGGGTAGTTGGGGGGTCTAGGTAAACCCTAAACCCTGATACTGCCAGCCCCCCCCCCCATCCTAAAGCCACAGACGTGGACAACCGCATGGTTGCAGGTCAGGGCGGTTTAGGGCTCAGGTTTCAGCTGAATCTGAAAAGCCTCTGCCTACCCAAACTGTGGAACCTAAGCCCTAAATCCTAAATGCTTTAGGGTTGAGGGTTTATAGGGTTTAGGGTACAAGCTGCAAGCTTGACTGTAGATGTCTTCTCCTCATGTCCTAAACCCCCCCAACCCCTACCTTGAGCCCCAAAACCCCGATATCCTCGGCACACGGCCTGTCGCCGCCTTGCCCTAAGGGTCCATGTACCTAAATAGCATATACTTTGGCCTTGAAGTAGTCCCTATATAGGTACTTTGGGGCCAAAGTATATACTATTTGGGTACATGGACCCTTAGGGTTGAACTCCTAAACCTTATAAGCCTTATGGCCCTAAACCCTAAACCCTACTTGGGAACATGGGCCCTTAGGGTTGCTGATCCCCGGAGGACTCCAAAGACCCCAATGAGTTCGCGGCTGCATGCTTGGTCTTCAACATGGCGCCTCATCTGCAAGCTCTAGGGTTTAGGATTTACGGTGTAGGGCTTAGGGTTTAGAGTAGGGTTTTGGTGTATATATGTCTATAATTGATAGGGTGTATACCCATAGGCTCCTTAGTAGTTCCTTGTTGGGCTTACCTTATAGGATTCTAAATCTGAACCATAAAAAGGAACTACTAAGGAGCCTATGGGTAGGGCGTAGNNGGGGGGGGGGGGGGGGGGGTACGCAGCCTTTTTTTTAGGCTGGGCTATATGATTATAGTCATTATAGTATCATTGTAATAAGCAGCCCTAGGCATCAGCAGTGCGAAGTGTTGAGGCTACTATAGCATGTGTTGGCATGCAGGAGTTGTTTAGGTTCGGGGTTCGATGAGTTCGGTGTGCAAGCACAGGCCGTTCTTTGACCTTTGGTGTGCAGGAACTTAGGGTAATATCGGGGTCGGAATAATTCGTGACAATATCCCCTTACAGTCTGGTCCCAGTATAATTACACCATAATGGACCCAAGCCCGATTGTAAATGGGGGGTCAGCTGCGGTGGGCACCTTAAGTCTATGCTAAGCCCCTAACCCGAAACCCAGAACACCCTAAACCAAGCCCCAACCCGAATCTGCGGGCCTCACCAGCCGAAATCTCCAAGCCGAAACCAATTCAGGACCCTAAACCCTAAACTTAGGGGTTTAGGGTGGCGGATTTAGGGTTGCCTCCAATGCCCGAAAGTTCAAGAGAAAAGAGAGCCCGCCGACCCCCTCTACAAGAGACGTGCCGCCAGCAGCTTGCCCTGTAAATGTAAATCAAGAGCTAGACGTCTGTCTATCATGTGAATATGCATATATACACACAGATCTAATTACGTAGATATTTACATATGTAAATGAATAAATACATATAAGTACTAAATAAGTACGCAAATAAATATAACTATAAATCTAATAATGTAAACATACATAAAAAATATTGATATAAACTTAAATGTAAATTTAAAATAAATATAGATATGCATTTAACTTTAAATTTTGCATGTACATATGTGTATATATATATNNACATAAATACAAACATAAATATAAATACAACCATAAATATAAATATAACTATAAATATAAACAAAAAATATAGATATAAATATATTTCTAAATAGACATATAAATATAGATATAAATATGTAAATTTACATCTAAATATAAATACAAATACATATAAATAAACAAATAAATATACATATACATATGTATATTTATA